AATGAAACTGCCCAAACTGCCTTGTTGCTGAATGTGCTATAGAAAGCAGCTTGCTTTTCCTGGCCTTGATCACATGACCTTTTTTAATGATTTGTAAACTTCTGAAGGCTGCACAGTCCATAAAAAAGCTGATTTTCAGAAAGCACGGTCTGACAGTTTCTCTTAAGGACGCATCCTTGATATTGTTCGACTCGCCTAGATGTTGAACGATATTTGAGTGTGAAAAGGTGAAGCTTGTGTGTTTTGTTTTCTTGCACTAACACTGAGTTATAACTCGCGCAGAGGTTGTATGTATCCCACCAGATGCAATTTGAGCCTCTATGAGTCAAACAAACCCTCTGTGTGTAATGCTACAGTGTTTACTGAAAACAAATTCAATCACGGCGAGATATTCTCCAGCGAGATGAGGAAAAGGAAAGGTCAGAATTAAGTTGAAATTCAACACAACACCTCCTCATATCTTTGAAGACAGTAGTGATACTGAAATCGTCTTTTCTGCTGTTTCTGAGGTTTTTTTTTCCCCCCGCAGCTCTCGCGACCATAAAATCACAGAGTGTAAACTTCACAGGATGACCTTCTGTTTGCAGTCTAATGAAATTCATGTAAAGTGGAAGGATGTGCAGTTTACTTAAAATGACTTTTTCTTATCTTGTAAACAACCTGACAGCTGGAACACACCTGGGAACACCTCAGCCTGCAGAAGCAGATAGAAAAATCAACACAAAGGGGTTCAAGATGTGATTTATTAACAGAGGGAATTATCGCTGACTCTGGAATATCTCACAGTAATGCAGGGAAACGGATCAAACACATATCAGCCGCTTTAAAGTGAAAGAAATGCAGCAAAGGTCATTAAAAACCTCTGTGTAATAATTACCACTGACTTGGTTACATGTCAAACTCTGCTCTGAATCTTGTTCATAACCAAACAGCTGGTTCGATAATTGAGTCAGGACCGTGTTTTAATATACTCCTACACTGATTATTGCTTGTACTCATTATTTCTGGACTAAATACAATATTACTCATAACATAAGTCAGCTCTGTTAAACAGATCTGTGTCTGCGTCTATGAGAGGGTTTCTAATTTTTGTTATAGGGCTGTCGAAGGATTAAAAATTACAGTAACCCTTTCTTTTACGGTACACTTATTACCAGGTAATTAACAGGTAATTATCTAGTAACAACATTAAATTATCTGGTAATTACATGATAACTACTAAGTCAATACTGTCTAGTTTTTCTTTTTTTCTTTTTCTTGATCCCGCCGGTTGAATTGGCAGGGATTACCATCGATGTGCGAATGAAGCAAGTAATTACAATTCATTCACGCGACAAGATTCGCGCGAATTAGGCGAGTAGATGATTTTACTCGCACTGGTGTGAGCGCCTCATTAGAGATTTAAAACAGCTTCTCAGCCTTAAACACCTCTTAGTTGGACTACTGTAATAGCCTCTATCCGGGCATTATTCAGTCCTCTTAGTTTTGTTTGAGGTGATTCAAAATTTTACAGCCAGGAAGGGAAAGATCATGTCTCAAGCTCTTGCAGTCATATTCAAGGTTTTGCAGTTTCACATGGCCCCATCACCTGCACATCCCTAACCCCCAACTTCCACCACATCTGGAACGGCCCCGAAAAGGTTTTTATTCAAGTTAATGTTTCAGTTTTACTGGCATCTTTTTCCGTTCTGCTGCAGTTCAGCAGACTACGCAGCCGATCCCCAGAGTTCGTTTTATTCCTGACGCCGCAGCATGCCGGATTCGGCACAGATTAACCCGTCCTGGAAAGGAAGTCAGGCACTGACACAAAATAAAACATCTGGCTTCTTTTCAAAATAAAACACTACAAGTTTTAAGCGGATCGTTTATCACACCATGCAAACGGGTGGGGACGACTAAGTGAAAGGTTTTCAGACGTCATTTCACCCCGTTGACACCATGGATGAGGAGATGCTAATTTTAGAAGTCTAGAAGTAGATTTCCTCCTCTGGTAGGACACAATCTACTGCTTATGTGGTTATGTGGCTGTCTTTATATAGAGACAACTCATCATTGCGTGATTGTACGTGAATCTGCAGGTTCTTGTGAGTTCTTGCAATTCCTGCTGTCCGTAATCCGCCACAAAATTCGCCTCACAAACGGATTCAGTGGGAATTGGCTGACGGCGAAAATCACAGCCATTCCGGCAGCAATGGAAATTCAGGGTCGCTCCTCCATCTCGCTTCTCTCTGAGATGGAGCTCTGAGATCATCCAACTAGCTGCTTTTGGCTGCCTTTCAGTCAAATATTCGACGTCTGGACAAAATAACCGAGAGTTTTCACTTTTTTTGTGATGCAAAAGTTCTCTAACCTTCACTGTCTGAATTATCCTCCATAACTCAAATCTTCACCAGTCAGAAATCACACCACAAACTTTAAATGCGACTTTAAACCGACACCTTTCTGTCCGCTCAGATAACTTTGGGCCCAAATTGAAAAACCTGTTGTTCAATGCTGATGGGAGCAGACATCCCTGAGGTGGAAACAAGAGCTCTGCTTCAGCCCCCACAAAGTCTGGGCTTGGAAACTCACAGAGTAAAGATCTATTTCATGAAAATTCAAAGACTCTAACTTCTGTCACCAGTTGATTTGGAGGGAAACCAAAGGAATGAATTCGGGTTTTTTCACCGGAAATGCTACATCCTATCTGGGGAAACATAAACAGCGAGGTAATAATTGGCCGAGAATGCAGGGATGATGAAAAGTAGAAACTGTGAAAACAAATAAAGAGTTTTTCAGTCGTATAATGAGACAAGGAGAAGCTGTGGGGCTGAAGTGTCCAAGAAATAAAAAATGCAGATTCAAACTGAGATGTTTCACAACTTTTCTTCATCATCAGACACTTTACAACTAATTCTGCTGATACAGATCCATTCAATTACACACCGGCTTACTACAACCTCTTACAGATACTCTTCAAGACTAGAGGTTTCTGCTCGCTCCATGATCGCCGCCCTTCTGGGACGACATTGGGAACTTTTTTTATAAGTGCAGTGCATGTGTGAAAGGGGCTCAAGTCAACCGAGTCCTGATGAATAAAACAGCTCCGTGAAGAGAGAGAGAGAGAGCGGGATCTTTCGGAGCCGTCACCTCTGGGAGCAGTCTCATAGGTCTTTTAGTTTTTTAGAGGATGGGGGTCACATTAGGCTGAGAGGATCTCTTTCTGACTCTGATGGAGCTGAAAAGTGAAGAGACTGAGAAAGGAAAGAAGCCGAGGCAGAAAGAGAGACGTTAACGCTCAACCAACCAGTCTGCGTCTATCTGACAACAACAACCAGGAGGTTTTTTATTGTTGCTGTGAAGAAGCTCTGCTATACTTTCTCGTGCCTCTTTTTGGCGCGTCGGTGGATGATAATGCTTCCTCCGGGCTGCCATGTTTACGGCCGGTAAAACCTGATAGCAACAATGAAATCATCTGACACCTGTCTGTGTTAAAGCCTGGAAATAATAAAGCTGGTACTCCTACAAATAAAACTACTCCTGAAGAGTTAGAGCAGCAACAACGGCAGAGAAAACCATCAGTGTCAGACAAGAACTTGACTGTGGAGGGTTTCTGAGGCTGACTGACACCGCCGGCTCGGTTTCAGCTTCTTAATGCTGCTGGAAAGTGTGAGGTCCACAATTGCAGACGAGTCTCTGCACATTTTGGACCAAAGAACACAACGGTGATCACAAAACATTAGAGTGACCACGTGTCCTCTTTTACCCTGACATGTCCTCTTTTTGGGGGGCTGTCCGGTCTGTCCAGGGGGAGTTTGTAAAATCCTTCAAATGTCCATGGTTTTGTGCGGAAGCCAGTTTTTTTTTGTATTTACTGTACACGTTCAAAGGTTTATTTGGACACGCACTCTGAGACGCCAAATCCCGAGACGATGATTATTTTGTTGAGGAGAAATGTTTTAGATAAACGAATATATTGTTTATAAACGCAGCTTTGTGTGAGTAATTTTCAGTATCTCCAGAGGCCTGGTTAAGTGTCTTTTATGTAATTCAGAATATGCACATAACTGAGTTAGGGGCGTGTAAAAAACACTCGACTCGACCTGAAAAACACTAAAAATTTTGCGCACACACGGATTCAGGAATGGTGACCCTACAGAGCATTAACTCTAAAACTATGAATAAAATTACCCATCAATCTGTTTGATTGGTCTTGGGGACAGCAGGACCCCTTGCTGTACAAAGTTAGCCATGCAACCAGCAGTAAAATGAGCTAACTTTACCTGGTAGTAGAGTACGAAAACACAAACATGTTGGCTATGACGGTATGCTAGCTGTTAGCCATTAGCATTAGCTCCAGGTAGCCACTCAGACGCCCAGTTCAGGTTTGCCATTAAGACATTCCAACTGCAGACATCCTCACCTTGTCTTCACTATTACCAGAGTCAGAATCCAGATCTGAGCGTCCCAGCTGCAGTGATTTTGCCAGGATGTATTTAACTCTCATGGTGGAGACCGCGCTTTCTGTCGTAGCTTTCTGTTTTAGCTAACCTCTACTAAAGGAATATGATAATTTTGAGGTTACAACTTTGTGTTGTTACAATTCTTGGTCTCAACTGGACTAACCTGGCTAAATAAAAGTGCAATAAGTGAGAAATAATCGTAAAGTTGCAACATTTCTGTTCATTTTGCACATGATTTTGAAGTTGTGCCGTTTCTGTATTTGTACATTTAGATATTTTTTAAAATTTTGTTAAACATCTCTTTTATTTCACAATGATATAACAACCAAAGAAAATATCGGCTTTTTTTTTTTTTAACCAAATAATTTCCCACCCTCCCCATTATTCTCTAGGGATACAGAACAGAAAGAAAAAATAAAATAAAATAAAATAAAATAAAGAGTACAGAATCAGACAAGTACATTAAAAAGGAAAAAATAAGAAAAATAAGTAAATAGATAAATAATCAAAAAAGAAAGGAACGGAGCAGAAACAGCAACAAATGACGCAACACAAAAATTAAATGTACATTTTATAAAATCATTATTTTTATTTCTCATTTATTCCATATATGATCAGTTGGAACATTGAATTATCACACTGAAACCCTCATTTACACTCTTTATAGTCAGGTGCACATATTTACCTCCAGCTGGCCGTTTCAGACTTTATATAAATGCATTTATTAACGCAGTAAACAGTGTGATCGTATTCTTTAACTACAGATTTTTAACCCTTAAAGTTCAGACCCATAAGTTGCAGGTTCATGTCCACATACCAGTGTTAATAAATGCTAATAAAAAGCCAATATGCTGCTTATTCTCCGCCAGTTAGAGGTAAATATATGCGTCTGAGCATTACAGAATACCAAACCTTTAAAACCGAAGAGTTACATCTGCATCATTTCAATGAAAAATGAAGGTATATTATAATAAACTAACAAAGCTTTATCATTTCAGTGGCACCGTCCAGCTTCTGTAGTCATTCTCAATAAAACAATGTGCGCACATACAAACAAAGTCCAAAATATAACTGTTTAACAAAATAAATATGCAGTGTCATAAATAAGAGCGTGGTGATTCACTCTAAGTCTGTAAGTGACTCTGTCTGCAACACTAAGTTCATTTCCAGCTGGTGTTTGAAGTTTTTAGTTGGAGATCTTCAGGAGCATTTTTAAGCTGCTTTATTTTCTGCTTTTACCTCTTTATTCACATGGAGGGAAAAAGAAAAAACCATCACATATTTCTCTGGAAGTGAAATTTATTTTGTCCAAAATGCCAAGGACGACGTTTTAATCACTGACTAAAGCATGTCCGCAAACAGCTCGGCCTGATCAGAGAGAGTGAGCTTCAGAAATGCTTCGGAGACGATGAACCTGATGTGTGAGCAGATTTATCACCCCGGGGTGAAATAATGATTCAGATAAACACTGGAGAAGAGCCTCCAGGAGCTTTTAAGTTGATTTTTAACAATGCAGCTCTGCACTGCAGCAGGAACAGCAGCTCACACGCTGCAGAGAGAGGCTGACAGGATCTCGGCTGTACAGACGTGAAGAACTGAGCAGGAGTTAAAGACTTGATTCATTCATCAGTTTTCCCAGCCTGCCCAGAGGACGCTGTTTATGCTCGCACGCTGTCACTGCGATCCGTCTATTGGCAGTATGTTAAACAACTCGTTTTCAGATGCTCATTAAACTTAATTAAGGTCCTTAAACTTAACAAGTCCACTTCAGCGGGGTCTGCAATTACACAGCTTCAATTTACATTCATTTTCTACAACAAATACATCTTAGGAGAGACGCAACTCTGCCTGAATTATGATTATTTTTTAGTTATTTCATCATGAAAATACCATTTTAATGTACAAATGACATAATTCAGGCAAGGATTACATCTCCCCTTAAAACATATTTGACTGAATGAACGTGAGAAATAAAAATGAAGTTTTTCTCAAAGGCAGTTGTGACTGTAAGGACCTCTATAACTCATGAAAGGAAACGTCTTACTAAAACTGACCTCGTTTTCTGAATGGCCCTTTTGCTGAATCTGCTTGAGACTCTTAGTGGTGGTTTATTTGTAGGTTTGACATGATTGAGGATTAAAAACGGATAAGATTTGGAGAATAAAGCTTGAGACATTGAAAAAATAAAGTCATAATATCGGACGAATAAAGCTAAGAGAGGAAAAAGGCAAACAAGATACAAGATAAAAGTCAGAACTTAACAAGAAAAAGCAACAAATTAGCACCAGAATAAACTCATGAATTGACGAGTTAAAGCTCCTGTGAGGAACTTTCTGTTTGTGGCGCCCCCTGTGGGGTAAGCAGTCTTTGCTGACCTTGTCCTCTTCAAGCTAAAACAATGTCATTTGGCATAAATTATCCCCCTACTGACCTTTAAGAGTCAAATATATCATTCATGTTAAATATGTTAGGCGGAAATTTTAAAACCTGGGCTTTTCTTTAGCTGCACACCTGACACCGACACCCTCTTCCTGGTTTCAGGGATAAAAAATGACTAAATACTAATTTTCTGTCTTGTCCCTGATATTCTTGTTTATATTTTAATATTATGAAAAGGACTTGATGTGAATTTCTGCCAATTTTTATAAACAAAAAAACCCTTATGGTAGCTTAAAGTACAAAGCATAAACTTATGAACAATTAAAAAACCTTTTCTTAACAAAAACAAAATCAGAAGATTATCTCTTAAAAAATATAAACTTATATTTTCAAGGCCATAAAAAGTAAAAGAATCAATTCAGTTAATTTTCAAATTAAAGCTCCTCTGAGGAACTTTTGCTCCAGCCATCTTTGGCGCCCCCCTGTGGACAATCTAAGAGTATCTAAGAGTACTGAATGAAATTTGTCGATTTTGGTCTCATTTTTCTTTGCGTGTGATAAGAAGGAGTTATTGTGAATTTTTACTCTTAAACTGGAAAATGAACAAGAATAAACTGAAAAATTACCTCGACTATCATCGATTGTTTACAGGAATAAACATGTAATCCTTCAAAATTAATTCTAATATTAGAAAACAGATGTCATGGTCATTATTTAATCTTCTAAATGTTTGACTTTATCCTCCAATTCCACCATCTTTTCTTCTCCAGTCTTCATCAGTGACCCTGATGCTCTATCCGAGTTTGCACCTTTAATTTGTTGTTTCGTTTCTTAACTTCTTGTTTTTTTCTAGTTAGTTTGAGTTGAATTTGGATCATTTTAGAATTTCTTTAAAGTTCTTATGTTTTTTTAAGTGACTTTTGTCTTGTTTTAAAAGTGGAAAGTCATGTCAAACTTCTTTTTCTTCATGCTTCATCATATTTTGCGTGTCTGTAAAGTCATTAAAGTTGTTTTTAGACTCTACGTAGTTGACCTGACACTCCTGATAACACTGGAGGGTGGAAGGAGTCAGAGAATCTGGGGGATTTATTCAGTAATCTGTTTGTGTTTCTGCTCATTAAACACTTTTTAATTTCATTTGACGAGTTAATCTCCTTTTAAAACTTAATTCCATCTGTAAACATTGTTTTTCTTACACCACTTTTACCCCTTTAACCTTAGCACAGGACAGTCGGCTCCAGAAAAGACATCTCCCTTTTATTTAGCGTTGAAAATACTTCATTGATGACAAGTCACACAAGTTATACAAGCATTTATAGTTTACACCCAAAAAGCAGATGTACTTGAATGCAACAGCCATCATGAAAAAGTTATAACTTATTCCAACCGCTCGGAGTTTGAAAGGTACTTTTGGGATGTGTTTGTGTTCCTCTCAGAGGCTCTTTGAGTGACAGGAACGTACAGTAGCGATAGGGAACATTTCAAGTCTCTTTCATCTGGACGGGGACTCGGCGCTTCCAGAAATGTCTTATTTCCTCTCTCTCGGTTCAGATCCGTTTTTTTCATCTTTAAATTCTCAAGCACTCGGCGAGATCCACCGGACGCAGCAGCAATGTTTGGATTATACAGTGACAACACATTATGAAGAAGTCAGTAAGCTTACAATCTTCTTTTCTTTTTTTTTTTTCTTTTTCGTTTTTTTTACAGTGGGAACACAAGAAAGCCAGAAAATGTTGAGTACTGCCATCCACCAACCAGGTTTCCCTTCTCCAGCTTCAGGTAAACTTTGTCCTCTTTTTCTAGATAAAGCAAAACTCCATTGGTGGCCGCCTCACGAGTTACGTCTTTATCGCCGGCGAAGGCAGAGATGACGGGTTTCCCATTCAGCATCAAGTTCACCTGAAAAAACACAGACAACACAGTTAGAGACGCACAAGGTCAGACATTACATTTAACATAATTTACACTTTTTTTCTGTGCATCTTAGCCTGAACTCCAATGAATTAATGAGATTCAAGTTGTAATTTACAAGAATTAACTTAACAACATTAAAGTCATACATTTACAATTAACTCTTAAAAATATAAACTCAAGACGACAAGAAGTCTTAGAAGTGAATACAATAATAAATACAGTAATAAAAGAACATAAAGTCAATCACACAAAAACCTTGAGATGAATCAAAGCAGTAATGAAACAGTCAACAAACTCCAGAAACTTTTTTTTCTGTTTAACCAATATGTCAACAAGTTTGTAGGGACTGTAAATAAATAATCAGAGGAGCACAAATCATGTATATCATGTCCTTTTTGGACTAAAAGCATTGTAGCTTTATATACAGTAGAGGAAGGTTATATGCAGGGGCGTATCCAAATCTGGGGGACCGATTTTTGCAGGGGTGGCACCATGTGATAAAAAACACCCTGTCTTGTGTAATTTAATAACTTTTTTCCCTGGTCCATCTGAACTTGTTAAGCGCTGAGTTTCCTGTTTTATTTTGTAGGAATTTCTCTCCAGCTCATTTAGTCTAGCTCTACTTCCTGTGTTTCCCTCTCCTGTGATTGTGCGCCCCGCCCTGATTAGCTTTACCTGTATCTGGTGTCACACTTGTGTTTCATGACCCTGTGAGTCTCTAAGCCCCCCTTCAGTCTTTATCCATGAATTGTGTCTACAAAGTCTTCTCCTCGTGTGGTTTCTGGTGTTTCTCATGTTGGACTTCCTCTGGATTTTGTTCAAGTAGGTTCATTTTATTTGTCTTTTTGGAGTCGACATTTTGGGTCCTAACTTTTGTCATATGAGACACTTTTCTTCCTCCACTACTTTGATGACTTGAACTGAAGATTTTAGAGTCCTGTAAATATATTTCTTTTACTTTAAATAGTAACTCAAGAAGGCATCGGGGGTCCCAGGTTTTAAGGTTCAGAAAAGTTACCAATTTCCTTTCCAGACATAAAAGTTAAAATGTTAAAACTTTCAGTTTATTGATGGTTTTTATTGCATGAGAGTAAGTGCATGTGGCAAAGAAACTCTGTGGTGATACGTAAGTTAGCCTGTTACCCTGTTAGCAGGTTAGCTTGTTGGCCTGTTAGCTTGTTAGCTTGTTGGCCTGTTAGCTCCCATGCTACATAAGCTTTTGTGGAGCAGGAGTTCAAATCTTGTGAAGAAACTTTGCATCTGTTAGCGACTCTCAGTGCAGTTTCTCTGGTGAATTATTGGCTTCTCAGACTGCTAACCTGTGTGGAAATGTTGGACCAGGTATGAATGTTGCTTCTCAAAAAGCAAATCATGAACTGGTTGACCAGCTCTGGTCACCCGGGTAACCAGGAAAGAGGGCGCTTGTCAGATAGCCATTATATAATAGTTTTCATGTAAAATCGTCCCAAACATTTCAAAATAACAGATTTCAGAGCAGCAATAGGCTGTGATATTTGTGTTCAGTCAGAGTCTCATCCAGGTCTATGCCTCATGACAACACATCCACAAACTTGAACCGGTCCTGCACCCTCCAGCTCGTATCATAACCAGACTTGCCCCCCATTAATCACATACCCACTGTCCTTATGCAGCTTCATTGGCAATGACTTCAAGACTCCTCACCTTTAAGACCGTTATAACCTTACCCCTCTGTACCTCTCTGAGCTCTTACCTGCACTCTCAGGGCTCCTACTTTCTTTCTCCTACTGCACCACCCAACCTTTTGACCACCATGGGGTCTGAGACCTTCAGCTATTCTGCTCCTCACTTTCTAAACTCCCTCACAGCAGACACAAATGCCATTATCTTTACTTTCTTGCTTCAAAACACCTTTTTTTAATCTCAAGAATCATTTTATAGGATTTTATGCACAGAATATTTTCTTATCTAGTAAAAAAATACAGCACCAATAGATAAAATGTTAAAACTACAAATATTAAGCTTAAAGGGATATTCTGGCGTAAAATTAATTGAGGGTCAAACCCACCGTAACACAGAGTTAGACACCCCATCAAGAGATGAATGTTGCCCACCGCTTGCTTCTCTAGTTATACCAACTTTTGTAATGACCGCAGGATAGCAATACTCAGCGGTCTGAGGAGCCATAAACAAACCTCAACCAAAACGCCACTCTATAGCCACAAATAATGCTCAGAACAGCACCTAACTTCATCAACAGGACATATAGGGTCACAGCCACAGTACTAGCCACCAAACATCTTTTTAACTTTGACTCATTTCTTTAGCAAAGGGACTAAACACAACTCACCTACTCTCTTCCAGCAGCCACTTGTTTGTAGCGAGACCTCGGGATGGTCCATTACGGACTACAGCGGAGTGACGCAGCTCAAGGAAGAACATTTATGATCATTTCTTTATCATTTCCTTGAAGTAATAATCACCATATTAATCATTTTGCACTGCAGACGCGGTAGTTCTTCTGCCTTAGCGTCTCAGTCTGATAGTATTTCCATGAAGAAATAATCATAAATGTTCTTCCTTGAGCTGCGAAACTCGGTTGTAGTCTGTAATGCACTGGCCTAAGGTCTCTCTACAAACAAGCAGCTGCTGGAGGAGAGTAGGTGAGTTGTGTTTAGTCTCTTTGTTAAAGAAATTAGGCAAAGTTAGAGAGATGTTTGGTGGCTAGAACTATGGCTGGGACCCTATATGTATGTGTTTGACCCTAAATCAATTTTACACCGGAATATCCCTTTAAAATAAGATCCTTGCGTAAATCAGATTTTAAGCAAACTATTCCCGCAACTACCAGCTGGTCGCAACAGTCCTAGTAGTCCAAAAAGGTTCATTTGGTCTGACTATGTCTGTATTTTTTATGTCAACATAAGACCAAATCTTCACAAATCAGCTCACCTACAACACCACAACATCTTGTCACTCATCTGAGGAAGACCGCAGGAAGTTTGTAATGACACGTCAGGGTGAGAAATGAAGAACAAACTGGTCTTTCAAAGAAAAGTTAATGTACACTCTAGATAATTTACGGTGAATCCTGTCTCTGATCATTTTGGGGTGGCCAATCAGATTTCAAGAAGGGCAATGCCATCCCTGGTAACCCTTCTAGGCGCACCCCTGGGTTAACTGTTTTTTTAAGGTAGGACAGTCATGTGTTTCTTCGGCCTGATGTAGAATTATCACACAGAGCACCAACACTAATGCTCTAGTATTGTTTAGCACCCCTGTCAGTCACCGGCCGTCACCGTCTTAACTTTCCTCAACCATGCGGCGCCCCTGGCAGCTCTGGAGAGCAGGCTCAGCTGTTTAAGTTTCATGTCATCTCGGACAGTGTCCCCCACCCACTGTGTGACGTGCTGCTTTAACTCAGTAGCACATTCATTCCACCAAAATACACCAAGAAACTCCACAGGAGGTCATTCCTGCCCATGGCCATCAGACTGTAAGAGTCACACACTCTAAAGGTTGCATAAAACATGACCGGAGTAGCTTCCTGCCAAACAGCAACAACTCACCAGCCTGCCCTTCGACTCAGCCGTGCCCCTGATTATCGCAGATTTATGCATAACCCTCTCCCTTAATATTTCTTAATGAATTCACCTCCTCCAGTGTGAACAAAGAGGGAAACAGGCTTTAAAGACTGGATTAATTTTCGGAATCAGGCATTAAACATGTTAATTACTTGTGTGAAAATTACAATGTCATTTCGCAGACGCTTTTGTCCAAATTAGTGCTTTAAAGGTACAGTATGTAGTTTTTAGCAGGACAGACTTGGTAGAAATGAAGTATTAAATGAGTGTTTAATCACCTGAATGTAGAAACCGTGTTGTGTCTGTGAAGATTTGACCAATACGGGATTATACTTATATAACAAGTTTGTCCTTTAAGGCCACCATAGATTTGTCAACAATGATTTTCATAGTAATGACACCCATGTTTTTATTGGATATTAAATCCTTTGCTACTACACATAAATATAAGCTATGTTTTTAAATGTTTGTGTTTTAAAATCACATGTTAGGACGAAATAGCTAACGCAGCGATAGCTATTGATAGCTACACTGATGTCACTGATAATGCGAACAACAGCTAACAACGGTTAAACGTAGGTTGTTTCCTGACTTGTTTACCGGTATCGTCACATCAGCCTACGACACAGCTAGCAAGCGGAAAGGCATGATGACGTAGCGGGAATCAGGTGGCGTCTTGTTTCTTAGGAGCGTGGGGTAGACAAAGGGGAAGGGTTAAGAGTGACAATTGGGAATGGCCCTTAATCGTTTGGCTTTTAGAGGCAGCACCAAGTGGACACTTGAAGAACTGCAGTTTTTATGACTTTCATATTGGCTTTACTTTTCTTCGCTGGAGGTTGCAAGTTGCACCCTTGAATCTGATTCTGAACAGGCCAGTTTTTGTTAAATATAACTATGAAATACAGACACTGAAAAGAACAACAGTGTCTCTCACTGAACCTGCTGTGCTAACTGTGAAGTCGAGGCTCCAAATGTCGTCAACAACCTGAGACAAATGGGAGCAGATGAGTAGAGAGAGTGAGTGAATCACTGAGGTTATCAGGTGGGCACCTCAGAGGGGCTTGGCTTTCTCTCCACCAACACAGCAGACCCAGGCTCTGATCATTACACTGACCCCAAAACACAGCAAAGAGCCTGATGTGAGATGTAATGAGGGATGACAGATTTCTCTAATTTCGTATAAATCTGAAATAGTCTAAACTTTTTGCTTTAGTTTTATTTTATTTCTATTTCCATTGGGGATGAAACAAAAACAGAAGCCTACAGTTTAACACTGTTCTCAGTTTTTAGTCGAGGTTTTTCCAGTTCAGTCTAAAATGAATAAATGAACATATGCATTATGTGCTCTATATATGGGAGTGCTAACTAACTGCAGAGAGGGTGATACTGTAGCTGTGAAGCTTCATTCTGTGGCTTTAGTAACACAACATCAGGGTCTGGTATGTTTATGCCTGAGAAGACCGCCATCTTTGAGCCGATTTAAAACAAAACTCTGAACATGACCGGGTCCTGAACCTCTCGACCTTTTTATTCAAGAGTTTTCTTTATGCAACATGTAAACACACTAGTTTCCTTTAATACATGTTGGTTATTAGATGACAAACTAAACTGCTGCATCCCCAGTTTCTGTGAATATTCTTCTATTTTTCAAAAGAGCAACTATCACAACCAAATTCCCCCATATTTGATTATTTCTGTTTCTTAATCTAAGTAATGAATCCCTTGCCTCTTTGAAGGTCCTGTTGGGAGTTTTTAGGCATTACTGGAATAGATTGAAATTCATAGTGTTCAGTTTTTATGATATCCAAATGAAAACAAAACCATCAGGGACAAGACTGATAACTTTGAAGGCCGCTTAGAGGTGGATGTTTTTACATTTTCCATCTAAAATATTCACAATTAATCACTTTTGACTAATCCTGCTAACCTGAGGAGGATAAATAAGCAATGACTGCTTTGTCCACAGGGGGGCGCCAAAGTGGACTCAAACTAAAAGTTCCTTACAGGTGCTTTAAGTTCTCCACACTGAGTCAGGTTGATGTTTACACTTTAGTTTTTCAGATTCAGGTGTACTGTGGGGCAGTTATTTACACACAGTCCCTAAACGCTTTAACCAGTCCACAGCAGACTCAATCACACAGCTTTATGAACCCAAACTGTACCTGTATGGTCTGGCTCTGATAGACTTTAATGACGTGGAAGTTAAAACTGTAGACTCCTTTCCTCGGGGACAAAAACACCGACTCGAACGTGAAGTAATTCCCTATATTCACGAGAACCTGCGAGAGAGAGAGAGAAAAAAAGACACGCATTATGAGAGAGGTTTCATATCAAAGAGACTTTCCATGCAAAGGAGCTTAAGGATGAAATATGTAAATAATAAATCAGTAATACACCGAGGAATCACTGTTGTGGCTAGCTGGCTCGCCCTGCTTAGACACAAACTGAGTGTGACAGACTTCAGGAGATATTTCATTCAACCTCGTCCTCTGTGGACTCAACATTTGACTCTACGGCTCAACTGGAAACCAAATTCATGACATTTGAACTCTTTCTCGACCTCCATCTGAGTCACACATGTCGTAGAAGAAGCTTACATATATCAAAGTGATGCAGAAGACATCAGTTTTCCATCGTTCGCTCTCTTAAAACGATCCACCCTGAATGTGTCAGCCAAGATGGCACTTAATGTCGTCTCATGAGTGTCACTAAAAGGTTCGGAGCACCATATATTCATGTGAGACATCCAGTATTTATTCACAGCGCTGTGAAAAAAGACAGTCTGCGAGGGATGATTAATAAAGGTGGCAGGAGCTCCTCTCTCAGCAGCACCTGCAGTGGAGTCCCACCTGTTAGGAGACACCTCTGCAGGCTCAAACAGGACCTTTGACAGATGCTGCTTTCATAGCAACAGCGTGCACATGCTCCACACCAATCAGCTCACTTTGCAGAGTGTTATGACAGCGAGAAAAAAGATCAGGTTATGTAATTTAAATGAGAGGGCAGCGGATCAGAGGCTTGGTTTTTTGTGTTACACACACCTTAACACTGCCCACTGCTGTATGACTAATAACACCCTGCTTGTTTGTGTGTTTGTGTGTTTGTTTGGGTGCACTGATGCAAGCAAGGTTGAGGGTGTGCGGGCGCGTGCGCAAGCGTTGTGGGGTAGCTCGAGGCAGTGTGGTAAATGCGTGTGCAGGCTCTGCAGGGCGCAAAACATAATCCAGTCACTTTCCAGCCTCGCCTGCGTGTGATATGTGCACTTTTTACAGAAGCTGCATGTCAGCTGCAACTAGCCTCAAACTAAACTCTGGGGTGCAGCTTCACTTAGTGACACTTTGAGATTCTGCAGCACAGATAAAACTGAGTCTAAGATCTGAAATTTGTCAGGAAAATCAAAATGGAAGGTTTGATTTGGAGATTTTGCGCAATAAAAAAACGGTTTCAAAGCGCAATTTGGAGCAAATTCTGACACTTTTCCTGAGCAGTGTTGATCAAACCGTCCTCACCTGGTCGAAGTAGATTATTCTCGTCTTGTTGCTCATCTCTGAAGGCTCGTGGTTGTTGCTCCGGACTGCAGAGAAAGCCACCTTGGAGTTGGCGGCGCGCACCGAGATGCCGAGCGGAGAGGACGAAGCCTTCCAGTCCGTGGCCGGGTTCGAGTCGCACACCACGAGGCATTTCCCCTCCAACACGATCGGCTCCGTGTCATTCTGAGCTCTCGCCACCTCCGAAATCACAGCCCAGCTGAGCACCAGTATGAGGGAGTTCACCATGGTTCTCCTCTCTCTTTTATGGCAGCTGATCCGAAAAAAAGAGATCCCGTCTCCTGCACCACACAAGTTTCCGAGTCCCTCCGCTGCTCTCCCCCGCCGCAGACGCGTCAGACGCTGTGAAATAATTCTGAATGCATCCAAATATTTGCCATATCCGAGTGAAGCAAAAGAATCCCTGCGAAGTTAAACCTTCTCTCCTTGGCGAGCGAACGAAAATATCACCGATTGCGTCTCATTTTCAGGTTGACTTACTGAAAAGCGAGACAAAGTCGACAGTGTCGGATCTTTGAGAGGAGACTCTTCCAGTCTGAGAGGCGAATCAGTCGATAAATCGTCCATAGCCCTCACTCCCACTCCGTATAACGCGTCTGACAGCAGCTGCTCCCCGCAGTGAAGTGCTGCGTGAGTGCGCGCAAAGCCATCCACTTTACGCACGCACATGTGGTGGAAGTCCTAATTAACGGTCCCTGCGTAATTTGCAGAAAGCTTATATTTCTGTAATTCTCTTTAAAACAGCCTCCAACTTCAATATACACTCTGTAATTGGCTGTGAGATTAAACTGTGTGGATGTGCAGTTTTGTCCTTTTTCTGGGATTTGGGAGGAAATCCATCAAATAATCATCTCCAAACATTTTTCTTTCTCTTTCTTTTCTTTCAGTTCAGTTTGTAATGAGTGTAATCTGGATGTGCAGAGCTGAAGAAAATCCTTCTGAGGAGGAGTTTTCTCTCTTTTTTTGTCTGACAGAGCTTCCTGTCCACTCTGGCTTCAGGTTTAACACAGTGACTCAGACTTATTTCTCTGCACAGGTGGGCTGAAATCTTTCACTTTGAATCCCTCACAAGTCAGAGATGGGACCTTTAAGTCTTTTTATGCTTGCCTCGGTGACGTAACTCCACCTGAACATGCAGCTTGTTGCTCTGAAAAGAAACATCCCTCACCTTCAGATCCATTCATGTCGCCTATCATCACTCCGAGATAAAAATCCAATACAGACACGCCTCACTTTGACTTAATTTGGGTTCATTGGTGTAATGCGTTTATCTCCCAGCATCCACTGCTGCACCTGTCTGTCACCTGCATTAAATCAACAAGTCACTCAGCATGTCCTGCGACAATATTGACAAGAGATCAGAGCACATCGGCCTCGCCCTCGTGTCACCGCGTCTCAAACAAACAGCAGATCAATCAGATGCCCTTCCTCTGACTTACAGAAAGTGACGCGATCAGGTGACCTCACTTTTCAACCCAAAGAGTCATCTCGCAGAACGATTAAATTCCCATTTACAGCCATTTCTCTATAATAAACAGCTCCATAAATTCCTAATGATGTACATTTTCAGTGAGGGAATATGTCATTTCTTTCTATTAGCGGGTTAAACTAAAAGCAGGTGTTTAATGAGGTTCTCTCCAAGTCACGAATGTGAATTAGTCTCCAGACAAGATTGTGTATCTGAGCACCGCAGGTCAGCTAAACAAGCTCCGGTGTAAAAACCCTCTAAAGGCAAGCTTAGGTTGGAGAAGTGCATCCTTATTTACATTTGTCTGGAAGTCAAAAACTTTCTAAAAAAACAAGAAAGGAAACTTATGTGTAGGTAATTATGTGGAGACAGTTTTCTACAAGATTTAAGCTTCATTCGATTACAGGTTAAACACTTTTTGCTTTTTTGTCTTCTTTAGATTAGAAATTCTCGAATTTTAGATGAATTTCAAAACCAACGAGAGGAAAAATTAAAGTGAAGAAACAAAATGTGAAATCCATTAACCCTTAGTCTAGTTAGGAGGGTTAGGGCTACATGAATAGGAAAAGAATAAAAATAAAAAAGGAAGGAGATTAAAGTTAAAATTTCAAGATTAAGAAAATTGAAATTTTGTCAATAAAGTCAAAATTTCGAGATTTTAAAATTTCGAAATTTCAAGATTAACAAAATAACATTTCGAGATTAGAGTCGAAATTTGGAGATTAAAGTCGACACGAATAAAGTCAAAAAATCTTTTTTTCAATTTTGTCTTTAATCACGAAATTCCCACTTTAATTTCAAAATGGAAATAAAAAAAATCTCCCTCCTGCAACTTTTTTTCTCTCCTGTTTTTGTAAGTTGCAGAATAAAATGTTGTATTTCAGCAGTTTTGATCTTTAATAATACTTAATAAAGTTTCCACCACTTAATATTGTATTTAGAGAATTAGTGTTAAAAATTTACATCGGGAGGACCCTCAGACCCTTCTGTTTTTATTTTTTCCCTAATGTGTTTATTTGTAAAACAAATTATTCCAATTCTCTCCTCTTCAGGGTACCTTCGGGGCAGGAACGCCAAAACAAAATTTCCCGTCTGACGTCTTGAACGATTAATTTTAATCCAGTACGATACAGTAGTCTAGTCCTTTAAACATACTGAGTTCACCCCTGTATGTATGTTTGTTGTGACATGGTGTAAAAGGGACCAAAATTTAACTTCAATATAATCTAATCATTTTCAGATAGGTCTAAATCTTTCAAAGCTGTTCAAAACAAGCTCTCCTGGCTCTCTCGGCTCAGCTCTGAATTTTTAAAGACCTTGTTGGAGTATTTTTGAAAAACAGCCCTGCAGAATTAAGCTGAAGGTTTTATTCATTGTATTTGTTCACAACGATAATTTCTCCTCCTGCTGTTCTTGGATAAGTAAAGTCGTCTGACTATTAACACAAGTTTTTGACTCACTCCCGATAAAAAGATGTTAATGATTCACAGTCTCGCTCTTGCCCTGCTCTTTATATTTTTCCATTATAATTATTAGTTTGCAGGATTTTGAGTTTTCTGGTTTAACAAATAGCCTTCTGCCTCACTTGTTACCTGCTAATACATCAGTGCAAATCATGCACAGGAGGTTTGAATCTGTTTAAATCTGTATTTGTTTCCAGAACTCAAAGCATATGGAGCTCGAAAGGTTGATTTATGACCGCAGAAACTTTCCCTTCAGTTTACAAAGAATTAAACACAACTTATAATTCGGTCGCATCTGGTCGTCATCTGAAGATGGAAAATTTTCTCGGCTAAAAATGTACAAATACAGAGTTTTGATTAACAGGGGAGCATATTCTGTTGTGTGTAGTCTTCGCTAATGGTGGATTAATATCTCTGGAAATACAACGACTAAGAGTTTTCAGCTGTGGTGAGGAGGAACCTTGAGCAGGACCAGAGTTCAGGAAGTCAGCTATAAGTAGGGCTGGGCGATATGGCCTTAAATCAATATCACAATATATTGATCAGTTCACCTCAATAACAATAAATGGATGATAACTACTCCACAAGCTGCTCACCCCCTCCCACATTAACTTCGTCTACTTCAGCCGCTACAACTTTTGAACCGTCCTCCATCTCCTCACCTGTCTTTCCCTTGTTGTTACAAACTGAATGGGGTGGAGTCACGTCTCTGATGTAGGACTAAAGATATGTGACACTATAGCCTACCTACACACATCCGAATATGCTGATACGGGCAAAATTACGTCGGTTATTGTCTTAAATTTTGGTATATGTAGATTTTTGGTTTATCGTTCAGCCCTAGCTACAAGTGTTGTTTTAATCTCATAAGCGTCTCAAGAGGAAGACCTCAGTGGTCCAAAGTTCTGCTTTCAGGACGATTTTGATTTGGAAATCAGTGTCCCAGAGTCTGACGAAGATCAGAAAGGCCCAGAATCCAAGTTGCTTAAAGTCCAACGTGATGATTTTAGGGGCCATGTCGTCTGCTGCTGGTCTACTGTGTTTTATCAAGTCCAGAGTCTGCCTGAAGTCCGCTTGGAGATTGTAGAGACCTTCATGTTTCCATCTGCTGAGACGCTTCATAGAGATACAGATTTCCTAACCTGCCCACAGCGTCAAAACTACCAGAAACTGGTTTGCTGACTCCATGGGTGTCACTGCGACTAACTCCCCTGACCTGAACCTGATAGAGGATCACCTGAGCAACAGTAGAGAGGAGCGATAAGAGAGACCACAGACTGATTAATACTCCTGGGCCATGTTGCTGTGATGCAGTAATTCCTGCAAAATGATCCTTAACAAGGTCCTGAGTCCATAAATGAGTGTGATTTTCTAGAAAATTGTTGTTTTAATATTTTAGAATAGTAGATTTTAGTTTCTGTGAGCTGTCGTCATCAGGATTAAAATCGAAATAGTCTTTAAATAGTTTACTTTGTCTGTGAGAAAGCCAGAATAATTAAAAATGGGAAACAAATGAACTTTTTAAGACATTCAAATTTTTCTCAACCTTAACCTTGATGGATAGGCGGATACAGGGGACTAAGTTTGAGTCAGTTTGAGACAACATTCACGATATGACAACCTCCATCGACCTGGCTTCAGAAACCAAAAGTTTACGTCACTCAGGCTAAAGTTAGAAAAGTTTAAAGTTTGTCTAAAGTTTCTCAAAAACACAAACAGTTGTAATAGTTGAATATAAGTATAGAGGAAGCTTTTGTCATGTCCTTAAATCTGTTTCAGTAAAATTACAGTCTGGAGATTTCCAAGTTCTCAAAGGTTCATTGTCTACAAATAAGCTATATTCATGCTGGATGGCAAAGTGAGAAACAAGCCAGTCACAGAATAAGAATTTGAGATAAGAAATATGAATAAACAAGAGAAAGACAGATGGATCAACAGACTTTAGAAATGGTGCTTTAATTATTGTCATTGTGATGCGAGCTTTTGTGCTATTAAACTAAAATAAGCCTGAATCCTGAAAAGCACATTTGGTGTAGGGGATTCATTTGCTTTCTCATTAAATCCATGCTTATGAATGCAGCCTTTTGATCTCTGAGACTGAACAACAACAAATCATTAGGTTACACTGCTGAAAGTGATGAAAAAATGGAGGAATTTTAAACAGCCCGAAAAACCAAATGAAGCTGAACGCTGACACACATCAGCCTGTGCCAGCACGGGGCAAGGTGAGGACGAGGTTTCGCGGCTGAGTGTTTGGAAACGGGACAGACTCGGAGCATGCAGACAGTGCAGCTGGTCAGCAACAGATTTCAGGTGGTGGTCTGCATGAAGAAATGGAAATTAATTAAATCAGCGGCATTTGTATTCAGAGAACAGCCGACATAATGGAAAAATCATTTGATTAAGATTCGCATGCTACTGCAGGGTTTGAAAGCAGAAAAGAAAGCTGTCCGTTTGACTCATGTTTTCACTTCAAATAAAATAAAAACAAAGATGTAGTTTTGGACGTTTTTTATATCTTTGAATGCAGTTATAAAAATGCTGTTTTTAATCCATCTGTAAACTCCTCATAGATCAGCCTCCTCGACCTGAAACGCTGCCATTTTGTGAGATTCATGTCGCCACCCGGCTCTGACAAATGCTTCAGAGCCTAATGTTGTGCATGTCAATATGTTACCATGGCAATACGAGTTTTCAGAGCCGAGGGGGGAGGCTTATAATGTGCCAAGAGGCACCTCCTCAGAAATCTTACAGGGCTAAACTCTGTTGTCTGACTTTTTCTCCAAGGTGATGATTAACAGTTTCAAGAAAAGGAAAAAAGGAGACCACATGCTGAGATTATTGGATTGCCGAGAGGTCGCTGTAACTTCACAAATAAGAAAGAGGACAGTGGAAATAAATATTTTAAAATCTAGAAGATTAGAAAAAACAGAAGATTAGAATAAGTTTTTTTTTTCAGTTTTTAATATGTGACACACGCAGGACTTTCATTAAAGCTCCTGTGA